TATATATTATTTATATATCAGTGTTTATAACCTTCAGTGGACATTTAGGTTGCCTATTTGACATTTTGGTTGCTTAACCTTCTCATTTTCCCTTCTGAATAATAAAAATGATTTTACCCAAGTTCCTCCCATTTCCCCCTATGAAACAGGGAAGTGATACTGAACTCAGCATTCCTAAACTCTGCTTTAAGAAACCACTCATAGTAACCCTGTTTTTATTTCCAGTGATTGGTTTAGAAATGTACAAAATTCAGGTTTGGCAATTGAAACCAAAGAAGGATTCTAATGGGGAATTTTTGAGAAAAGTTTCCTTGCTCTTGAGAAAGAGACACCAAAGAAAAAGTTTCTTCTCCTTCTGTGATGCAGCCTCCTTTCTGTCCACAGGATGCTCAGTCTTTTGGAAAATTGCTCACAGAGCGGACAGAGTGAGAAGCAGGGTTCTTGGTAAGGGTGGGAGCTGTGACTAGAGACTGTCTTATCTTTGCACTTATGTGAGATGATAAATTTCCTTAATGTTTATACTAATTTGATTCAGCATTTTGGCTTCTGTAGGCCAAAGCATCTGAACTACTATATAACATTTCCTTTCTAATAACCTTTCAGTTTATTTAGCTGAATCTTTTTGCTAATGTCTAAGCTCTACAGGAATGCTGTTGGATAATTATATTGCTTTCCTTAGTGCTCTAAACATTTCTTAATTTGTGATGGCTCCAAATACCACTAATTGATGCAGAGCATGTGTGCTGCAAATAGGTTACAGGTGTAATGAGATAGTGCCTCTGGTCCTTAGGGTGACTGGGTAGAGTCTGGAGTAGCTGGAAACCTCATGGTGGTCATCTTTGTCCTGGAAGCAAGCAGCATCCTCCATTTATTCAAGAGCGCTGAATACTTATCATTTTCCGATGTGTACACTGAATTAATGTATTGTTTAGCTTATTTCAAAATAATTAGAAAAGATATTTAATAACGCTAAACTTAAAAGTTCACATGGAATGTCAGTAAATTAAATTGGAACATCAATTAAATAATTAATGGAACAGTCTTCTTTTTTTTTAAAGATTTTTATTTTTTTTATTCATTCATGAGAGACAGAGAGAGAGACAGAGGCAGAGGGAGAAGCAGGCTCCCCGCGGAGAGGGGGACCGCAGCGGGACTCGATCCCAGGACCCTGGGATCATGACCTGAGCCGAAGGCAGACGCTTAACCGACTGAGCCACCCAGGCGTCCCTGGAACAGTCTTCTAGTAGCCTGAAGTTAGCTCTACTTCTCTTTACTCCATATCCCTTTTGTGAATTATTGCCACTGACCCTTAAATTCTCTATGGGAATAGGGAAACAGTAACAAACTCAAGAGCTCTGGTTTAGAACACAGACCACCTGAGTTCCAGTCTCTGTCTGTCATGGGACTGTGAGTGACTCTAACCTTTCCAGAATTGATCTCATCTATTAAATTGAGACTGGAATTAGTTGATCCATGGCAGACCAAGTGCTTTATTTTGATGGAAAAAAAAAAGTTTCTATATTCATTGGTTAGCTAATATGCTGCTTCTTTATAAATAAATGCTGTTTGTTACTCAGGGAGTTTATATTTTTTCCTCTCATGCTATTTATATTATATTTAGCCCTCCAACTATTTGGTTTTCAAATGTTAAATGGTAGACAGCAAGGATTTTGAAAATAGGTATAGCAGATAATGTCACACTATCTCCTCTGATAATGAATAGTAACTTCATAATAATTTAAAGTATTATATCCTTAAACTAAAGAAGAAGCTCTGTGTAGGAGGATAAGAGGAGGTTAAAGACTGAAACATAATCAGTAGCAAATTTATGAAATTGTGTTCCCTCAAAAAGTCTTCATGAAGTCAAATGTAAAATGGTATCCAAACAAAAACAAAATACCACGAAGAAATCCCCAGAATAAAGCAAAACAAAATTTATTATTATTATTTTTTAAAGATTTTATTTATTTATCTTGACAGAGAGAGACACAGTGAGAGAGGGAACACAAACAGAGGGAATGGGAGAGGGAGAAGCAGGCTTCCTGCCGAGCAGGGAACCCGATACGGGCCTGGATCCCAGGACTCTGGGATCATGACCTGAGCCGAAGGCAGACGCTTAATGACTGAGCCACCCAGGCACGCCTGGATCCCAGGACTCTGGGATCATGACCTGAGCCGAAGGCAGACGCTTAATGACTGAGCCACCCAGGCACCCCAAAACAAAATTTATTATTATTCTTTTGAGGGTAGTTAGGATTCTGAAACATTTTGCTTGCTTACTCTTTTTACACTCCATTACAAAACCACAAGTCCTTAAATGTCCTTAGTGTGTGTGTGTGTGTGTGTGTGTGTGTAGGAATGGGGGAGGGATGGGAGGCAAGAGGTTGGCAGAGAGGATAAAGAAGTTATTTATCTCTTTCTCATATCTCAGAAAGACATGATGACCCACCTATATTTGCTACTGCAGCAGTGAAGCATTTTTACCACAAGTCTGCAGAATTGAAGTATTTAAGACAAAACACAAGATAACGTGTTTCACACTTAAAAGCATGATAGACTCTAGCTTACAGGTAAGGTGAGGTGAGGAGACTTAACACTCTGTGGAGTTTTAAATATCTCTGATACTAAGTGCTTTGGCTGCAAAAATAACTCCAAAGGAACATGACCTGAGCTAAAGTATAGGGACGAGTCTCTTATCTGAGCAATATAAGGTGTGGAGTCCTTTTAATAAAATCCAGCCCTGCATATACTATATAACCTCTGAACACCCACGGCACCAACCCTGTGGTTCACTTCCTGTTTGGGATTCTTAAGTGCCCCGGGGAAGGAGGGGAGCCTAAGGGCTTGGACTATGCTTAACACAGTGGGGAAAGAGCAACTTTGAGGTATCATAGGACACAGACATCTTCTCTGGAATGATTACAAACATACTACTGTTTCTGGCAGAATTTTCAACATTGCAAATGAACTAGAACTCTACCACTGCATCTGTTCACATAGGCACTCATAAATTATTTATTGCATACTTACCTTGGGTTAGGATACAGCCCTTAAAAAGGTAATAACCCTCCCTTCATGGAGCTTTCATTCTTGAGAGGGAGATTGATAATACTGAAACAACAAACAGAAGCATGGTTTCAGAGAGTGATGAGTGCTGTGAAGAAAAGCAGGGTCCAGGAGACTGTTTGTGGCTATTTTCCGTGTGTGGTCAGGGAAAGGCTCTCTGCAGAGGTGACATTTGAGTCGAGACCTAGAGGACAAGAAGATACCAGCAGGCAAAGTACCAGGCAGAAGGAATCATTCTTGCGCAAGGAACACGCAAGAGGGATGGTTAACAATGCTGGATAGAACTTGTGGACTTCCAGGAACTGCAAGAAGGCCTCTGTGGCCAAAGCTTCGTTAGCACGTGTAGAGGAGGATCCGGAGTTAGACCAGGAGTTTCGCTTTTATTTTAACTGCGATTGGTACCCACTGGAGGTTTTAAACATGGAATGGAAAGGGGGTGATTTAATACAGTTGACATTTAAAAATACAATATTGCACTTCGATATCACTTCTTTAAAACCTAATTTCTAATTCCGTACGGGTCAAACGACGCCCCAGCCGTCCCTGTTTGCCCAGGCTGTTTGCGGCCGCCGCCGGCTTGTTTGCACCCGACGTACTGCTTTTGACAGCCCCGGAGGAGTGTGTGACAGTTGGCAGGCGCAGTGAGGCACAGCCAGAGCCAAGTCGCTGCTGGGGCCAGGGCTGCGGGAGGGGAGGAAGGGAAGGAGGCTGTGGCGGCGCGCTGGGAGGGCCGAGGCTTTCACTGCGAGCGTAGCGGCGCGCCCACTTCGAACAAGGGATAAGGAGGCGGGCCCCTACGAACCCGGGGTCCCTGGGGCCCTGGTTGTTCCATCCCGTAGGTTCGCGGGGTAATGCTTGGATTTGACACTGAAAACAATGCTGGCTCGCGGTTGGAGGCAATGGCGCGAGTAGAGGAGGCAGGAGCAACTTAGAGAGTTTCCGCTTCAACTCGGTAGCTTCGCCTGGCCTGGCCACCGGACCCTGCGGCTGCACCCACTGGAGCCGCAGGTGTTGATTTAAAGCTCGGCTCCAGCAGGCCTTCTGCTCATATATCGCGGCGTCCGCACCCCCGGCGAATCCAGCTCCAGGTTTTGTGATCCGCTTGCATGTAGAGGCCGCACCCTGAACTGCCCGCGCGGTAGGACTGGAACCTGGGCATCTGGGGCCCTGCGGGGGTCCCCGCCCTCCCATGCGTCTCCTGGCCTCCTACTGCTAGGGACCACTCTGGTGTGGGCGGGCAGCCCTTCCGGGATGACCCACAGCACCTGCTCCCTCTGGCCTTGGCGAAGTGAGCAATCTGGAGCCAGTCTCCGCAGGGAAACCGAAGCTTCGAATTCTGGGGAGCGACCTTCGCCCGGGGCGCCAGCTCTGCCTCCAGATCGCGGCCTCAGTGGCACCTCTTAGTGAGGCCTCTGTTCACCAAGCCGTCCGAATTAGCTATCCACTCACTCTCCATCACATCACTCTGATTTAATGCTCAGCGGGACATTTCTTTCAGTCTTGTGTGCCTTCTGTGTTTGTTTATTGTCCTGTCTCTGGAATGTCCACTACACGGGGCATTGGTCGTTGTTTTGGGGTGCAGTATCGGGTTCCCGGCGCCTAGGACCCGGCCGGGCCGGGATGCAGTGGGCCGTCATCTTTGCTGAATGACTGAATACTGTGCCCCAGTATTGAAGAGCCTGAGCGGCAGGTCTTCCTGGAGGGGCGTGGCTCTTTCAAGCCTCGCCCATGAGGCTGCCCCCACCTCTAACCCGCTCCTCCCTTTCCTCTCCCAGGAGTCGGCATCGGGCTGTGAGGTGTTTTTCCCTCCGGCCTCCCTCGCTCTTTCTGCAGCTGTTGCAAAAACCCGGAGCAGCGGAACCTCAGAGCGGCGGAGCGGCGCCGCCCCTCTCGGCACCTCCCCGACAGCCCCTGGCGGCCGCGCTGGGCATGCTCAGTCGACAGGGCCGCTTCAGTTCTTGGAGTAGGAAGCTTGGGCGCTTCGGCTGTAAGGCACAGCGGCGGGGGGAAAATGGATCCCTTTACTAACGGTGAGTAGGCGAGCAGAGGCGTCGGGGTTGGGACTCTCTGGGGCGCAGAGGGACGTTGGCCGTCGGGACACGCGGGATCGAGCTGCAGTCGCCCCCACCGTGGGTTTCCCACGAGGGTTTGAGGGCGGTGGAAGCGGACTGGGGGAGGCAGCTGGAGCCTGGAGGTGGGTGGGGGGGCGGGCCGAGGCCGGCGCAGGACCGGGGGCTGGCGTGAAGGTCAGTGCCACCGTCTGCCGAGGGCCTGGGGGCGTCGGGTGCCTCCAGACCGAAGCTGCGCTGCGTGGCCAGGTGCGCGAACAGCAAAGTTTGGGCTGCTTTGCGCAGAGGAGGGGAAAGTTGGCCTTCTGGGTTTGCCCCTGGAGAAGGTGGTGTCCGCCAAGGCTCTTCTGGCAGCAAGGGTTAAGCCTCGGCCACTGCCAAACCAAACTTGTGTGGTGCGCAAGGAGCTGTCCCCCGTTGTCCTTCCTCGAGTTGCCTGCGTGACTTTTCCTAACAGGGCGGGGTGGGGGGGTGCTTGGCAGGTTAATTTAGTAGAAGGAAGGGAAACTTGCAGAAAGGCTTGCTTGGTCCTGCTCTGTCGAGGAGGTGCCTGCCCGCATTGTCACCCTCCTGTCTGTTGGTGAGGCACTCTGCAGGGCGTTCAAGCTTCCTTTCACGGGCTCCCGATAATACCAGTTTTTCAGTCGAAGACTCATTAAATATCAGGGGTCCGTCATGGTGATATCACAATGTGACATGAGGCGAGAGTCAAAGCAGAAGCCTGCAGGAAGCCCTGCAAACAGCCACAGCTCTTTACTGAATGGACAGAATAAATCCCACCCTAGTTAAAACCGATGGCTTTTGTTTGGACCAGAAGTGCCAGAGTCACAATACAGGGGTGAGATGTCTTACCATTTTGTGGCGTTGAGGATATGGATTTCCTTTTGGGACAGAAAGTAGGAAGAATGCCAGTAAGGGAGAATTCACACTAAAATTAGACGATTCACTCTGTAGTTGACATGTATTTTCTTGCGGGTGGTTTGTTACTTCAGGTAGACAGTTTGTCGCATTAATAGAAGCCAGCGTCTACTCCGGTTTAGGTGGGTCACTTGCCTCAAGAGATAGAGACATTGCCCACTATATCCCAAACCCTAGCCAGACTTTGTTGTATGCTGTTCATTCATAGGACTGCAAATTACTCATTATATTCTTCCCTGTCCCTAACTCAGAATGCTTTATTCTACTGCCATCTTCCTGTCTGTACTGTCTAATTAGGCTTAATGATGGCAACTTTAATTCTGAATTTCCTTTCTCATTCAGGTTCTATTTGTAATTTCTAAGGCTCTAAGAATAGTGGGGTAAAGTTACTAAGAGAATTAAGGAATACTGGAGCTGAAAGTAAACTTAGAGACCATCTAGTATTTTAAGTGTAAAATATGTTTAATACAAATCATTAAATCCTTTCAAATGAATATTCCAAGGCTTTTTCTTTGTCCTAGGTAGAATACCTAGAGCTTCCATGTTTGTAGGATTTTAAATGTGAACTTTCACTTAAAAAAAATTCCCTACAAGGCTGAGTCACCGATTTGGTCAAGACTAGTGCTAGTTGATTTGGAAGACCTGTGCCTACAGAATTAAAATACATTGTCAGATCCTCCAACTGGGGTCTTTTCTCCCTTCTTAAAATATGTTCCTCCTGATGTTAATATTTAATATTTGCAGATTGTCACATTTGAGAGGACGATGGAAAAGTCCCAGAGAGGTAACAAAGAGGGAGGAATGCTTCAACTACTATGTAGGAAATTGGATTTTTATTCTTTTTCCTGTCCTCCAGATTTTCAGAATCTGCTGGAAACAGTTTGACGGTGCAACATTTTAGTTAATGTGTTAATCACTTGTTGAAGGCTTATCGAAGTGTCCTTTAACAAGGAACTAGAAACTACAACATCTAAAGTCAACCAAAAATTAGCTCCTAGCAACTTGAGGTGCTTTTTAGGTTTAAGGCTGACTGTTTATTTATTTCAGACCTTTTGAAGGATAGCTTAGAATTTTTCTAGTGTCTTTAAACGGGACTTGTTTAAGTATGTTTATCTTTGTACTTAATCCTATTGAGTACAAAGGATACGTACAGCTAATTCTTCTCCCCTAGGTCTGAGTATTTTGATGCAGAGTATTTCATTATCCCTAGAATTTATAATTACAGGATTTATCAAGCTTGATCTTGGCTTTTGTTGCGCATTCACCCTCTTCTAGTAAAATCTTCACCACGTACACTTTCTTATATATCCCTGCTTATAGAGAGGTGTGAGAGCTTAGCAAAACCAGTTTCAGCAGTTCCGAACCACTTGTCTTTCAATTAAAATGTTGTCAGTGGTTTCACGCTCAGACCTAGAAATTTGTAAAGGAGGCAGATTTAGTTTCTGTTTTGTCATTTTTGACTTTCAGTACTCATCTATTCCAGTAGGGCTTTCTGTACTTTCCCTGTTTTCCATCAAAACTTGCTGCTCCTATGGCTCATTTGTCTTGGGCCCTCCCTGGTCTTTGCCTGCTGATAATGGGTTCATTTGATGAATATCCTATGTTAATCTGTCCAGGTAACATACTGCTTCAACCTATTTAATATGTGTATCTCCAGAAAGGGTTTTAAGAAGGGACCTTAGTGCCAGCAGTTCACATTTGGCTCAGGAGGTATTTTTGATCTTGCCCTTGGGAAGGGACTGCTGACTATTACATACTGCAGACTATATCCAGTCTGGCTTTGGATTCTTGGTGACTTTTTTATGGGGAGAAAGATGTGCTGGACTAGTACTCAAGATTGGTTTGCCAGTAACCGTTATGTCCTGTTAGGCAGTTAGAGGTGAAACTCTTAGAAAATAGTCATTTATATATTACAAAAAAAAAAAAAAACAAAAACACACAAAAAACCAAAAAATTGATGGCAACTCTCTAGATGTTTTGATAGATGTACTAGATTAGGGCAAGTAGTTATCTGATGACTTTATTTCTCTTTATTTCTTTATTTCTTCTCCTAATCCTTTGCAGGATTAGGGTATTTGAGAATAATTTAAATTCACATTAAGGACTGTAAACGTCAAGGCTCAGTCTTAGAATCTGATCAAGGAGTTCTGAGGTTAGGGCTAGAAAAATGTGGGACTTCATTTTGAGGATACCAGAAGTATTCACCAGAAGGGAGATTTTGAGAACTTTGTTAGGTCAGCAAATTCAGGATTTGGAAGCATATTGATGGAGAAGGCCTTTTTTTCCTGATACATACATATATTCATCATTTTTTTCTTATGAACAAAGTTCCCAGGAATCACTTTAGTACTACTGCCTGGTATATAACCAAACAAGGGGGATTTACCTGTCTTACAAACTATCTTTGTTTTTGTTTTCAGATTGACATCCAATTAGAACTATTACCCAGCTTCCAAAATGGGAAGTCTGGAGAACAAATTCGATATTAATGGGTTGTAAGGCAGTATCAAATTGTGATTTCATCTTTTGATCTTACAAATAACAGTTGTCCTATAGCTATGCATTTCTTTTTTTTAACAAAATAGCATCATCAGTCAAAAATATGAGCTTACCCCATTTTGTTTATATATATATAAACATTTCTTTTGTTCTATGATAAATGACCACATTGAAAGAAAATCCTTAAAATGGAAGATCATTGTTGCTCTGTGTAATGGAATATAAGTAAAAATATGTTTTTACCTTCTGTCTTGAGTTTTCTGTTTCAGTTAAGTGAAATAGGACTGTATAGAAATCAGATATTAACATCATTTAATATTCTAAGGTTGAGGCTGTAATTAGAAACTATCCAGTTTTTAAGGAAAGAAGTGGGGGGAAAGTCCTTTGCTTTGCATAACAATTTCCAAAAAAGTGTGTCTTGAGACAGACAGCATATTTTAGGAACGATTAAAATCAGTGATTTTTTTTTTAAAGATTTTATTTATTTATTTGAAAGAGAGAGAGAAAGAGCACAAGCAAGGGGAGGGGCAGGCAGAGGGAGAAGCAGGCTCCCCACAGAGCAGGGAGCCTGACAAGGTGCTCCATCCCAGGACTCTGGGATCCTGACCTGTGCCGAAGGCAGATGCTTAACCGACTGAGCTACCCAGGCATGCCTAAAATCAGTGATTATCACTTATCTATAGATGATCCTTGAGAGATGTAAGATACATAACCAGAAAGATTGGTTATAAGGAAATTATCATACAGAAAATAAGCCAGGGGTGATTTCCTTTTCAGTAATTCATCAAACACTGTCTTTTGAATGCCCACTTACAACTAGACTTTCTGCTGGACACACTTGCAGGAAACCCACAAACCTGTCAGCAGATAATGCCGACCTAAATAAGAGAAATGAAATGGAAAAATCTAGTTTTGTTTTCATGCTAATATACAACTAAGAAATATAGTAGAAACAAAAAGGCAATAAAACTTTAAGATAGTTTTCTAATTGTGAAATAAATGTACAGAATTGTCTTTATAACCTGTTCATGTAACATCTGTCACCAGTAAGTTCACATTTGTAATGATTCAGTGTAATACTTCTGTTAGGAAACAACAGCATTCTGAACCCTCTCTGTGAAAGTATTAGGAAATTGAGATATGAAGGAATTTAGCCAGGGTTACTCCTGAAGTTGTGATGGAGCTGGATTAGGCCCATGGCTCTTGGCAGTTGAGGTTAGGACAGTGTCACTGTGTTCTGTCAGTTAGTTACCTCATGTCTTAAAAACTGTAGGAGGTTGGAACTAGAGCTAATAATACTAGTAGATCTTTCCATAATATTATTGGAGCAACGAGAGAAAGTCTTTCTTTTTTTAAAATTTGAATCCCTAGATATGTACATTTTCTGAGTGTTCACAAGAAACCAGGATTGGGAATCAAGGGAAATTTTGGAGCTTTTGTAGTGGTTCAGCAATTTGTGTATCTAGTGGCCTTTGTAAAGAAAGCTGCTCATTGCCGTGGTGTTTCTGTTCAGCAAATAGGACAGAAACAAAATAGTTTTTGTT